GTACAGAATTGGTTTTTCCCAGAAGTAATACTTTAAGTCAAAGAAAAACTTCCTCTTCTGCTGAAAGGTCATGCCATTCGGAAGCACTCTCAATGACAAGTAGTTTGCAAAATCTGCATACGACGGTGCTTTTTCCACTCTCGTCAATTTCTCATCCGGGAAAGTTTCTTTGATATGGGGTTCCTCTTCACTTCCCTGAATTGGTCATTCAATCCTTGACAAATGATCCACCACTACATTTTCTGACTCCTTTATCTCGGATCTCCAGCTCAAACTCTTGTAGTAATAGGATCCATCTTATCAGCCTCTGTTTTGCTTCTTGCTTTGCCAAAAGATGCTTGAGTGTTGAATGATCCATGTAGATTATCACCTTATCACCTAGCAAATATGAACAAAATTTTTCAAATGCAAAAACCCAACTAATAGCTCTTTTTCAGTAGTGGTGTAATTTAACTATGCATTAGTGAGTGTCTTGCTAGCATACTGAATTACATGCAACACTTTGTTCTTTCTCTGTCCTAAAACTACTCCTAGTGCAAAATCACTAGCATCACACATCAATTCAAATGGTAGTCCCCAATCGGGAATTGCACTGATAGGTGCAAACATTAATAATTTTTTTAGAGTTTGAAAGACATGCATGCATTCATCATTAAAATTAAAAGTAACATCTTTAATCAGTAAATTGCAAAGGGGTTTAGAGATTTTAGAAAAATCCTTGATAAACCGTCTATAAAACCCCGCATGCCCCAAGAAACTCCGAACTGCCTTAACATTTGTAGGCGGTGGCAGCTTCTCGATCACTTCTGTTTTTGCTCGATCCACTTTGATGCCATCCTTTGAGATTTTGTGACCGAATACTATTCCTTCCTGTACCATGAAGTGGCATTTCTCCCAATTGAGCACCAAGTTCATCTCCTGACATTGCTGCAAAACAAATGAGAGATTAGATAAGCAATTGTCAAAAGATGAACCAAAAAGAGAGAAGTCATCCATGAAGACTTCTATGAACCGTTCCACCATGTCACTAAAGATAGACAGCATGCATCTCTGAAATATGGCCGGTGCATTGCATAATCTAAAAGACATCCTTCTATAAGCAAAGATGTCATAGGGATAAGTGAAAGTTGTCTTCTCTTGATCTTCAGGAGTAATGGCAGTTTGATTATATCCTGAAAAACCATCCAGGAAACAATAGTAAGCATGCCCTGCCAATCTCTCCAACATTTGATCGATGAAATGAAGTGGAAAATGATCCTTCCTTGTCGCTTCATTCAATTTTTGGTAGTCAATGCACACTCTCTAACCAATGACTATCCTAGGTGGTATCAATTCATTGCTCTCATTTTTTATCATTATGATACCTTCTTTCTTCGGAACCACTTGCACCGGGCTCACCTATGAACTGTTTGAAATAGGATAAATTATGCCGGCATCTAGAAGTTTCACCACCTCTTTTCTCATCACTTCCTTCATCGAAGGATTCAATCTCCGTTATGGTTATACCCTAGGCTTGACATCATCTTCCATAAGTATCTTATGCATGCAAAAAGATGGAGAGATGCTTCTAATATTCAAAATAGTCCAACCAATTGCTGATCTATGTTCCCTTAACACCCAAATCAATCGCTCTTCTTCCAATTTGCTCAACCTTGCATTGATGATTATTGGGAAGGTTTTGGATTCACCAAGATACACATACTTAAGGTGAGAAGGTAAAGGTTTCAATTCAAGTTTTGGAGGTTCTTCCTTTCTTTCCTTTTCCTTCTCTTTCTCAAAATCAAATTCCTCAAATTCTAGATCTTGGCTCTCAACCATCGGCTAAAGTGCTTCCAACAATCTGGCACATTCATTCTTTGCCGGCTCACCTACCTCTATTGTTTTCAATTTGGCAATACATGATTCTAGAGGTAGTTACAGAGTGTTTTCTTCAATAGCCTCTGCTACTAGTTTATCTACCATGTCTACACTAAAGCACGAATCCGACTAAGATGGAAATTTCATAGCCTCAAAAACATTAAATGTTACTGTTTCATCTTGGACTCTTAATAGTAACTTTCCTTCTTACACATCAATAAGAGCTCTTTCGGTGGCCAGAAATGGTCTTCCCAAAATGAGAGGCATTTCCTTATCCTCTTCCATGTCCAATACAACAAAGTCTGCCGGAAAGATAATCTTGTCCATCTTCACCAACACATCTTCAACGATACCTCTCGGATGTTTGATGGATCTATCTGCAAGCTATAACAACATGGTCATTGGCTTCACTTCACCAATTCCTAATCTCTTGAAAACAGAAAAAGGTATTAGATTGATGCTTGCACCTAAATCACATAAAACTCTATCAAAATAATGTCTCCTATAATACAAGGGATAGTAAAACTCCTTGGATCTTTGAGTTTTGGCAGCAGCTTCTTCTGGAGAATAGCGCTGCACTCCTTCTTGTGCATCATTATTTCCTCATCTTCTAACTTTCGTTTGTTTGATAAAATCTCTTTGAGAAATTTCGCGTAGCTTAGCATCTGTTGCAATGCATTTGCAAAAGGAATGTTAATGTGCAGTTTTTTAAATATTTCAATGAATTTGGAAAACTACTTATCTTAATTCTTCTTTTTGAGTCTTTGAGGAAAAGGCACAAGAGGAGTGTGATGTGCTAACTTTGGTGGTATCTCGGGGAATGGCAATTTCTCTTTCTTTTGTCTTTGCCACTCTTCTCGCTTTTGTTCATCTTCCCTAGAACTGGTTAGTTTCTCTTCAGAAACTATTTCTTCGTCAACTTCCTCATCAGACTCTTCCTTTTCCCTTGATGGCCTTTCTTCTTTCCTTGATTGTTCCACCTTTTCCAAGGCTATCCCACTCCTCATAATTATTGTATTTGCTTGCTCACATGGGTTAGTCACTGTGTTGCTTGGTAGGGAACCTTGTAGTCTCTCATTTAGCTTATCAGCCAATTGACCCACCTGTACTTTCAAGTTCTGAATGGATGCCCCTTGGTTTCTAAAATTCATCCTGGTCTCGTTCACGCAGCTTGTGGTCTCTTGCATAAACTTCCCAAACATGTCCTCCAATTTTGTCACTCTTTGCTCTCTTGGTTGATTGTTCACCCCTACTTGGTTCTTTGGCAATGCTCTTTGGTTCCATTGATTGTTCTGCTGATTCTGTTGATTCTGATTGCCCCAAGATTGGTTTGGATGATTCCTCCAACTAGGATTATATGTGTTGGAGAATGGACTGTTTGGTTGCCTTTGATTTCCTGCCAAATAGTTAACCAGTTCTGATGGTGAAGACGCTGAAGCAAACGTGTTCTCCACTTGACATTCACTGCTCACATGACTACCTGCACAAAAATCACAAGTTAGTTGAGGTGCTTGAATAGAGTTTACCTGCATATTTCCTAACTGTTTCTGAAGTGTTGTGAGTTGGGCTGAAATGGTCGTGTATGCATCAACTTCATGAAGACCCTTAGATTTCTTTGGCTACATCCTCTCATTAGGTCTTTGATAGTTGTTGCTTGCCAATACTTCAAGTAACTCATAGGCCTCTTCAGGTGTCTTATTTTGCAAAGCTCCTCCTGATGCTACATCCATCATAGTTTGCACATTAACCATCAATCCGTTATAAAATGTTTGGACTTGCATCCAAACTGGCAACCCATGGTGAGGACACCGCCTCAGTAATTCCTTGTATCTTTCTCAAGCCTCATATAATGATTCAGACTCTTCCTATAGAAACGATGTGATATCATTTTCATCTTCGTTGATTTTGCTGGAGGAAAGAATTTGGTCAGGAACTTCTGTACTAATTCGTTCCATGTTGTGATTGGTCTTGATGGTAGTGCCATTAACCATCCCTTAGCTTTATCCCTCAATGAAAACGAGAATAGTCTTAATCTGATGGCATCATCTGACACTCCGTTTGACTTGAAGGTGTTGCAAATCTCTACAAAGTTTGCAATGTACTGATTTGGATCTTCCTTCAAGTCTCCCTTAAACTGTACCGACTGCTGGATCATATAGATGATTGTCGGCTTTATTTCGAAAGTGTTGGCTTGTATTGCTGGTCTAGTAATGCTCAAACCACTGCCATCAGTTGTGGGAACTGAGAATTCCCTTAATGTTCTATTTTCTGCCATTTCAACAACTATGGCCTCTGGTTCAACTGTAGCTTCTCGTACTCTTCTCTCGTTAAGCCTTCTAGCGGTTCTTTCAATCTTTGGATCAACAGGAACCACTGGCTGATGTCTTGCTCTTCACATAAACTACATAGAAAGAGAGAAAAAAAAAAATTGAGATCACAAATCAACAGAAAAGAACAACAAAAATTAAACTAACAAACAATTAGAACAAAAAAAATAAAATAAAATAAACTCCAATCTAGCTAACACAAGAAAAACTCAATGTTAACACAAAAATCAATCCCCGGCAATGGCGCCAAAAACTTGATGCGTTGTTACTACAACATGCAAAAATAGCAAGTGTACTAGTTGCACAAAGTAATAAAGTGATGAGTGAGTATCGTTCCCATGAGGATTGGTTGCTAATCACTGATTTTCCTAATTGTTTTCAAGTTGGAGAAACCGAAATTGTTTGGATTTGTGGGAGAGATTAACACTTGACTAAAAACAAAGTTTACTAAATATTAAAAACGAAATAATGAAAGCAAGATTAAAAAGCAAGAGTAATATCAATTTAAACAAACGGTTANCTCTTGGGATTTACAATTCTTGGAGACATAACTTTCCTGAAAATGAACTAGGATTTTCTCTGTTGAGCAGCTAAACTAAATAGTAATCTATTTATTAAAATTTCTAATCATATCAATCTCAAAGAATGAACTCTGAACAGCACTGGCTGAAGTTTCTGGTAGAGCCTTGTTGTACACCTAGGCCATCCACCCTAACACCTGTCATTCCACTTGCATGCATTTAACAAGTTATCTTTTGAGCATTTGTGGCAAAAATTCAAATTTCTAATTTTAAACCTTGGGTGAAGTATTGGATAATGCTGTCATGTACCATTGCTTCTATTTTTCTTTTGATTAATATTGGGTATGCAGTAAGTGTGCTTGTGGGTGGTTTTTGGGCTAAGTTGTGGAATTTCCATTTATGATTTTCACATTGTGAAGGCCCCTTTAAATGTTTATAATTCATACTGCTGATTCATCTTTTTCAAGGGACTGAAATTTCTTTTCTCATTGCGCAGATACTTTAAGGGACCCGAACTTCTTGTGGATTTGCAGGACTATGACTATTCTTTGGATATGTGGAGCCTTGGTTGCATGTTTGCTGGAATGGTAAGGGTTGCTCTTGCTAGATTCTACTTGTAATAATGTAAAATTTTCACTTGAAGTGCTATCTACTCTATGGATTTGGTTTTCAGTGGTCTTTTTCCTTTGTTCTCTTTTATTTATTAAATGTTCTTAGAAGAGAAACATGAATCATGCTTTATTTTCTCATTATGGTTATTCTTTTTGTAGATATTCCGAAAGGAACCATTCTTTTATGGTCATGACAACCATGATCAGCTTGTCAAAATTGCTAAGGTAATGCCACTAGCATACAGTGAATTCATTTTGCAATTCATGGAATATGATGGTTAATTTGTTGAGATGCTGGTGAAATATATTCATTATTTTTTTATATTGTTGTGTATCATAACATATCTTCTAGGATTGTTCAGTGAGCTGGAATTTATTTTCGGTACTTTATTTGGCTTCAATTCCTCTTCTAGTTTCTTTTTGGCATGTAACTATATCAGTAAAAAAATTTCATTAATATTTAAAAAAAATTTGTTAATTATATGAATTTGGGTGTTTATACACTTATGCTGCCCTATTGCATATGCATATGCCATAAGAATTTTTATCTCCTCCAATTTCACTATTTATTTTTCTATCAACTCAATTCTCCTTGACTGCAAGTCAATCTTTTGGGCTAATACCCAGATCACTCTTTTATGATTCTCTTGCTATAGTCTATTAAATGGCTGATTGTTTTGCATTTGCATTAATTATCTATTAGAAATTTGTTGTAGTGTTCAGATTGGCTTATACTGTCATACGTAAATGCATATTTGGAACATAAATTTCTGTTTAAACTATGAGAATAAGACATGTAAACTACAATAACCAGGTTGTAATCACCCTGTTGAAAGGTTCTATCAATATAGCATGCAGTAGTCACTAAGCAGGATGTCTGCTATAGTATGATTGCTTTAAAACGAACAAACTTGTAAATCTTGACAGGTTCTAATGCTGTAAGTGAGATTTACTTCTTCAAATTCAGCTGTCTTCGAGGACATTCCCAGAAATTTTGGATTAGTATAATGACACATTAGGTCCAAAATTACGGCCTATTGGCGGAGGTATATTCTTTTTATTCTGCATGGTATGGTTTACACAACCAGGCAGAGTGTTAAGTGTTGTTATTTTGAGAGCCCAATGCTCAAGAATTTCCCTTGGTGAAGTGGGAAGTTACTAATTTTTAAGGATGGGAATCAAGCCAGCTGAAGCCAAAGATATGATATATTGTGGCCTAAAACTTTAATATACACAGTTTGCTGTGTTAACAGTCCAATGAATACTGGTTTGAATATTGTGTCCTAATATTTTTTGGTACCAGTACATGATCCATTTGATGATTTTGGTCCTCTTAAAATTGACTGGTGCTGCACTGCCTGCATGTTTCAATATAATTCATGTATGATATTGGCACTATAGGCATACATATATTCTATATACATTTCACTGCAGGCATTACCAGGCATCATTTGTTTGTGAAATGAAATCTTGATGAGCAAATTTGATGCCATAGGGCTGCTGTATGATGTTTTTGATGCATTTCAGGTGCTGGGAACTGATGAATTAAATGCATACCTGAACAAATATCATTTAGAGCTTGAACCTCAACTTGATGCACTTGTTGGGAGGTATACTGAACATGAGTTTCTTCCTTGCTTTGATTTAATCTTTCATTATACCACAAAAATGTAATTACCTTAACATTGATCTTCTGTGGGAACATCTTGTGTGCCCTGTGGAAGGATGGAAGTCTCAAATAGGATTTAATTACCTTATCTAAATAGATCAATAGATGAAACTTACATATCCTCAATTTAATTGATGTGTTGATTTAATATTATGCAGGCACAGTCGCAAGCCTTGGTCCAAATTTATTAATGCTGATAATCAGCATCTGGTTTCTCCAGAGGTCAGTTGTCTTTTGCTTGTGAAAAAAACCTGCCAAATCATTTTTAGTTTAGCCCAATAATTGATACTCATTCTTAAAGGTATTTGACATGCAGGCTATTGATTTTCTTGACAAGCTCCTTCGTTATGATCACCAGGATAGACTAACTGCCAGAGAAGCAATGGTAATTTATATTAGCTATTTGTTACTTGCCTCTGTTTTCTTGCATGAATATTGAGTTTGTATGTTGCCTATCTTTTCTTTCCATTTTTTTTGTCGATTTCCTCTAGACCAATTGTCACTCTGTCCCTTCAAAAAACATTTAGTGACTAATTGTAGGTTGAAAAGTTCGTGGTATTATGTGCCACTAAACGACTTCCTTATTTACTTTCTGTCTCTATTATCATCCACTAGATGCCAATTTTCACAAAGCTTGTGTCTGATTTGTTATTTCATGTTCTTGTTTTCTACTTGTCTTTGGTAAATAGTACATGGTTGGCTGTTAAAAGCATTAATTTCCTATATGATAGATCAATTTGTTTAATTTTGACCGTCCAAATTCAAAGTGCTCCTCAGGCTGAGGGTCCAGAGTTTCTGTAGAATTTAACTAACCTTTGCTTTGTATAAGATTTAATCTGTGTTCTAATTGACATGAATTTGATATTTTTCATTCTTTGCCCACTCCCTCTCTCTCACTCTCCCTCCCTGCAGCAACGTAACAAGTACAACAGAAATAATGTATTTTCATCTTTTATTTTATTGTTAATTTTTTTTTCTGCAAACTTTTGTTGGCACTTTTGGTACTATGATTCACGGGTGTACTAATTTGTTGCTTCAAATGCAGGGCCATCCTTATTTTGCACAAGTTAGGGCTGCAGAAAGTAGCAGAACACGGATGCAGTAACCTTTCTGATGGTGTTGCTGGGCATTTGAGAAATGTAATGTGCTTACAATCACACACTTTAGAAAACAGTCTTGGCTGCTCGTATCATTATTGTCCGATTAAGGGTTGTGGATAGCTGTTTAATGTTTGATCGAGTTAGTTTGTAAGACAGATCTCAAAACTATTTTTACCCTTTGTGTTTCCCTACTTTCTTTTTGGTTGCATTTTTACTATCTTCTCGAGTGGGAACTAAATTAACAAATTAAAGCTAAATAAAATAATAGCAAACGACAGATCATTGTAAAAGTCTGAGCATTTGGTTTTGCCATTTTAAAATAAGTTATTAAATTTTAGAAAATGTTTTAGTAATTTAGGATATCAAATAGACATACCCGAAAGAGACAGCTTAAACAAATCTGTTCTAGAAACAAACTGAACGTAATGTTTCATGAGTTTTTAACCAAAAAAATTGTATTTTGAAAAACAGGTCACTGCATGCCGGAAATTCAACAGGCGGGCTCTCAAAATGTTGCAAAAGCTTTTAACATATGCTGGAAAAAATGTAGCGAAAAGACATTATTCACTATGCTCCTTCAAAGACCAGAGGGCCGGTGCACGTAGTGATTACAAACCATGGAATGTATAATGCATTCACAATTCTATCCATTGTCCTTTTAACTACTTGACACTAAGGGTGTTCAAAAAAATACAAAAACCAAATCGAACCGCTAACCGAACCGAAAAACCGGTTAACTGAAAAAACGGTTCAATTACGGTTCGAAAAATTCAAAAAACCGAATTTTCGGTTCGGTTACCGGTTCGAAAGAAATTAGAAACAGTTAACTGAAAACCGGTTTTTCAAATATATATATATTAAATAAATAAATAATAACCTAAACTAAAATAAATCTCTAATTCACTCAATCTAAAATCCCAACCCAAATTTTTTTTCTTAGTTCCCAATGTATTGTCTATATTTACAATTAAATTTAGGACAAAATTTTAAAAAAAAAATGTTTTATAAAACAAAAGGGGAAAATCGGTTCAAAATCGGTTAACCACTTTTTTTAAAACGGTTAACCAATTTTTCGGTTAACCGGAAAACCGGTTCGGTTTCAGTTCGAGAATTTCCCCGAACCGAAAATCCGGTTCGGTACCGCTTTTGAACACCCCTACTTGACACAATTTAATCTTACTTAGAACATTAATGAAAACCATGGTGACAAAGTTCAGAGCCAATTTTGCAAATTCGGCTGGACGATCACACTAATATAGTCTCTTATAATTCTTACACCACCCTTACCTTTAAGGTAAGTCGGAAAACATAGAAAACAACAGACAAATTATGCAATTATCATTACACACCAAGTTCCACAAAAGGAGATGGTGATCAACCGGCCCCTCTCTCACATACACAAACACATTCGACTAACTAGTAACTGCGTTGAGTACTGATCTGAAAATATTCTGGGATGAAATGCTATACATAAAGGGAGATGATGTTCCCATGGTATTTTCCAACTCCATCACTTCTTAAGATGAGGGAAGCAAACATTAACATCACTTTTAGGGTGCTTTGCTTCAGCATGTTCTCTGCACTTCACCTCTGAAGTTGTGCACATGAATGTCTGCATGCACACCTTGCACTGCATTTGCAATTAATCAAGATAATCAAATTATCAGAAAGCAGCAAGACAGAATGTCCTAGGGTTATATTCAACATAAATAAAACAGTATCATACGGTATAACTATACTAGAAAGAGTGAACCCAAATACAAAATATAGATCAAGCCTGTTAAAAAACAGAATGGGGAAAGCTAGCACCACTGATACCTTATAGTCATATGTAATGCACAAAGGAATATTACCACAGCTAATTATAACATGTTAACAAAACTGCACAATATGCTTGAATGAAACGAGATTCTCTACAAAATAAATCTCAAGCAGATTATCAGCAAAGAGAACTTTTCTTATACAAGAAAAACAATCCCTAATGAAATCCCAATTTCTTCTAGTGGAAAAAAGAAATTGCTACCACAAATAACTTACGGTGAAATCAAAATCTTCAAATATATGTCTCTAACATTGAAAACTGGTATTAACAGAGTAACAGACACCATAAAGCTATGCGCAGCCAAAAAAAATTAGAAAAGAGTACTTGGCAAACCCAACCCCACGTGTTGAGCGAGGAAGGCTAGGCTATTACCAATCAACCATGATTCCACTGTTCAAAGAAATTGTGTTCATTGCACGTTAAATAACAATACTCACTATCATCTAAATTGAGTCTAACATAATCTTCCAGTCAACAAAAACAACATACATTATAAACCCCCATCAAATAGGACCAACAAAACAACCACAAAGATGACAATAAATAACTAAATGATTAAAAAGTTAAGAAAAACAACTGAAGTGCATATATTAAAGCAAATCAATTAAGAAATTTAAAGACAACAGCACAAAGAAATTACCTGGATCGTCATCGCTTTCTTGTTCGAATCCAATTGACTTCCTGGGAAAATTCAACAGGACAGAAACTACCTTGAACAGAGCCTGTATTATATTAAAAAAATTTAAAACAAAAAATTGCGCGTAAGAGAGAAAAAAAATTGACCTTTGCCGGAGGCTTTTTGTTTCTCCAAGTTCTTCTCACGTGCCATCTTGGCTTTTTGGCCGTTGCCTCCTCCCATGGCTGCCCTATTGAACGATCGGAAACCCTAATTCGCAAACAACTGTAAATCAAGAGGCATATGATTGAATGAAAGAGTTATTGCGCTTTATATTTGTGGTTCGGAGAAAGTGATTGTGTGTGTCTCACCCGCAGGTCGTGTACTGTCCCCAGCCAATTGTATTGCACCGTTGTGTTTTTATTTGTACGCGCTCACCTCAACTGAATGAGCTACTCTTATTGGTTCTCAGTTGGTCTCGGTCAACTCTTAAATTGTAATTATTCACCTTGTTATAAGATAAACAATAGATTATATTTTATTCGTTTAAGAAATATATTTTATTTGTAACTCATTTAGCTACAAGGGCTATGTTTGTGTGTGTGTGTGTGTTTTTTTTTTTTTTTTGACCCGGGGTGTTCGGGTTAACTTACGGACACCTTAATTAATTCCTCAAGACTCTAGAACTATCAGCTGAATAAGAGTTCTAATGTCTACTCTTATTAACATGTTTTTCTTAACTTATATTTTGAATACTTTTGTTGTTTTTAACTTAATAAGAACTTTTCTCTTTTTTCTAAAATTAAGTGAGTGGAACACACGGTTTTTCAAAATGAAGGTATGAGTTTGTATTTAGGTTAAACCGTGGGAATGGGGGTATATGTAATGAGTAATACTATACATGTAATATTTTTGTACAGTATTATGTAGTAAAATATGATTAACTAATTTTAAATTAAAAATAAACTTTTGCTTACTAATCTTTTGTCCAATAATAAAAATATCATATGTATAATATTTATGCATATATAATACTCCCTCTGTTTCAATATAAGTGTCGTTTTAAGTTTTTACACAGCTTTTAATGAAACAATTTTATCTCTCCCCAATTTAACTTTTCTCTTGATTTTGCATGTGGGAAAAACTTTGTGTTTCCCACTGCACACATAAGTGAAATATTGAAATAATTTAATATATATATATATTGTCATTTTCTCTCACCTATTATTAACCTACTTCCATTTTTTTTATTCTGTTCGTCTTCGTCACTTACTTTTCTTTTACTCTGTTAATCACTCATTCCCATTTCTTTTATTCTGTTCATCCCTCACCATGACTATCTCTTTTTGCTGACTTTCATCTCTGTGATTTTGTTCGTCATAGACCATGGCCGAACAATGTAATAGTAGAGGTGTGCCTGGGGAAATTGATTTGAATGTTCTTCCAACATTAGAAGCTACAAATGAAGTTGATGACATAACCGAGAAAGTTAATACACATGTGAGCCAGAAAAAAACCTCACAAATGAGCAAAGGCAAGCAATTTTTGAATCTCTATTGAAGCGAAGTGTTAATGGACAATTGAAGAAAAACACTACATCTGAGGTGGCTCAATTATTTTCAATTAGTATGCGTATAGTCCAACGCATTTGGCAACAAGGAAAAGAAAATGAAGTATTGGATAACACTAATGTGTTTAGCAAAAAGGCACTCAATTGCGGGCGCAAGCGTCATCAAATTGACGTCAATCAATTTCAAAATATTCCATTACGAAGAAGGACGACATTGAGGTCTTTATCTGCTACCACAAATTTGTCAGTGACAACGTTGTTTAGGCGGTTAAAAGAGGGCTCCATACGTCGTCATTCAAATTCTATAAAACCTTTATTAAATGTGGAAAACATGAAAGCTAGAATACGCTTTTGTTTATCGATGATTGAACATGGCAACAACCCCAATTGTTTGAGGTTTGTAACCATGGAAAATATTATTCATGTTGATGAGAAGTGGTTCTACAAGACAAAGCAGTCAGAGAAGTATTACCTCCTTCTTGACGAAGACAAGCCTTTACGCACATGTAAGAGTAAGACTTATTACTAAAGTCATGTTTATGGTTGCAGTGACACGCCCAAGGTTTGATGAATCAGGGAATGAATTATTTTCTGAAAAAATCGGGGTATTTCCTTTCATAAATAAAGAACCTGCAAGGAGGAGTAGTAAAAATCGTTCTGCCGGAACCATGGAGACTAAAACAATCAATTCTATCAATAAAGAAATTTATCAATCTTACATAGTTGAGAAACTGTTGCTGGCTATCTGAGATAAGTGGCCAAGAATTGATGCAGGAATCCAATATTTATCCAACAAGACAATGTGAAACCTCATATTGGTTTGGATGATGAGTATTTTCAAAGTAATACTACTAAGGATGGCTTCGACATACGTTTGATTTGTCAACCTCCGAATTCTCTAGATATGAATGTTCTAGACCTTGGTTTTTTAATGCGATATAGGGACTATAATACCAACAGGCGCCCAACTTTGTAGATGCGCTCATAGAGGCTGTTTAGAAGTCATTTGATGAATACTCGCCAACAAAATTGAATCATACATTTTTAACTTTACAGTCATGTATGATTTCAATTTTGAAAGCCAGAGGTTCGAACAAATATAAGGTTCCGCACATGAAAAAACATAGGTTGGAGAGACAAAATTGCCTTCCTAGGCAGTTAGATGTTGACCCCGCGTTAATTGGAGAAGCAATTGCACAATATCAATAAGTGTTACAATTGACCTATCTAGTATTGTAGACTATTTTTGTTCTGTCTATGATGTTCATATGGGTTCTAATAAGATATTGTCTTTTAGGAGTAGTTTGTGTTTCCTTTTGGATTTTTTTTTTTTTTTTTTTTTTTTTGCTTTGCTGTCAAGAAATTCTATTCCAACGTACAAGAAAAGAACTTGTTCTATTTTGTAATATAAGCTTTTATTATGGTAATATATAAGAATAAGTCCAAACCAAAGGACCCTACAAAGTCACGGTCCTTGAACAAGCCCAAGAAAAAAAAAAAAAAAAGGATTAAAGTCCTAACAAAACATGTAGTTAGTCTAAGAAATACTAGACAAAAAAGGTCAGCAGTTAAAAAAGCAGGCCATCTAGGCACAAAGCAAACTGCACAATATATAAATAAAGGTACACAGCCAAAAAGTCTAAAAACTCCAACCACCCTCAAGGAAATCCAAAAAAAGCTTCAATCCCCAACTACTAGAAAAACCAAGACTCACCATAGCAAAACTCCTGCAAAGCACAGACCCAAGGATAGGAGAAAACAAGCAGCACCTCCTGGCAAGAATGGAAACTCCAACAAAGAAGGTTTTGTAATCAAATCCATGACCTGCAACTTGGGGCAGCCACATGCCCTTCTCAACACCAAAGGCCCCGTAGCATAGGCTAAAACAAAACATAGGCAAAAGTCACAAAAATTGAGCCAAAACCCAAATAAAAAGTAGCAACCGACTGAGAAAAACTAAAACACATAAAACACCCAACAATCACTCTCACCAAGGAGTACAAGGCTCGATCATCTCCTGGCAGCCATGCGAGCCATAACATCAGCGAACATATCCACACTAACAGACACTTTATAGACTTCGACATATGTAAAGGAATCAAGCAAATCACCCAATACACATTTTTGTTCATCATTCCTATTAAGGCTGTCAATTAGTTCTTGAGAGTAGGACAAACATTGGACTTCTTTAACACAATTTTCACGGGCAACACACAGTCCATGATACAAGGCAAGATATTTGGCATGTAGTGTATTAGAAGCTGACACATACTGTTTCAGTAAAGCCAAATTTCCACAGCGTGTATCATGCATTACAATGCCCACTGCTGATTTTTCCTGGTTATTCCAAACTCCAGAAATTTCAATTTTGACAATCGGTCTTGATGCACCTTCTACATTATTTTTTGCAACATGTACTATATTAGAGAAAATATTGTAACTAATTAACTGAATTGATGAAAGCAAAAAAAAAAGTGTATTGACATCAACCAAAGAAAAAATCAAATAAAACCTCCACTATTGATATCCACCATTCCAGATTGATTTGCAATGCTTGTACTGCCTTCGGTGTCAATTAATTTAGCCTCATTGTTGATGCTATGATTATCTTCAAAACCTAATCATTCATAAATTAAAGAGTCAAATGAGTCATGCAACAATGTACCGTTATCACTTTTAAGAATAAATAACCTTAAGAAAACACAAAAAAGGCACTTACATGATAACGGCACCCATATCCTCATTTGTTCTAATTCTTCATTCGAAAGTTTACGACTCATAATCTCCACTACGTTTACAGCCTGATGTATTTACAGAACCTCGATTTGCAGAACACAATAATGCAACAACATCAACCACAACATTTTTTCTTTGTCGCACACATTTTACTTCATAAACAAACAAAGCACAAAATAATGGCGACAATGCAATTAAATGCTATCAAAGCAAGGAAGAAATACCTGCCACTCAACCGTCTTTCGGACTCCTAGATTGAGTAATGACAGAGTCACAACATCAAGGTCTGACCAAATTGAGCAAGGGCAGCCACTTCACGTTTGAGAATCTCAATAACCTAAACAAAAATGCAACTTTATCTTTTTTTTTAAAAAAAAAGGAGAGGTTACAGAGTACACGAGATCATAGCATACATGCTTTTAATTGAAATGTGCTTCCTTTCTTTTTGCAGGTTCTACAATCTTAGTAGATAAAGAGAGAAAGGAGATGAGGGGCGGAATAGAGAAAGAGAGAAATGGGACATCGGTGATAGAAAATGTGGAAGAGAGGAGATAGGGAAAAGATAGCAAAAAAGAGAGAGGAGATGTGGGCCATAGAAAAAAGTGGAGAGAGAAGATGAGAGGCAGAGTAGAGAAAGAAGATGTGGGCGATGGAAAATGTGGAAGAGAGGAGATGAGGGGAAGAGATAGATAAAGAGAGAGAGAGAGAGAGAGAGGAGATGTGGACCATAGAAAAAGTGGAGAGAGGAGATGATGGACAAAGTGGAGAATGGAGATGTGGGTCAAGAAAAGACAACGTCATTTAATTTGAAAAAAATTAACACCCTCAAAACGACATATATAAAAAAACAGAGGGAGTATATAATTAGGCTTTGCCTATTGTTTTTTTCTTTTTTTATCTAACGAAGGTTGTACCATTAATCAGCATAGCAAGCGGATGCTTGTGAGTGATGTGACCATGCATGCCCAACAAAAGCAGCTTTTAGAATCTATCCAATCCAAGCTATGCCAGCCATCAATTGTGAATGAATAAATAAATTATAAAGGGACCTTAGTGGTAAGTGAAAAACTTATGGCTGCGGACCGTGCAGTTGTATGTAGCATTGTATTGAGTTATTTTTTTGGTATTGTATTTAAGTGGATTTGATAGAATTGAATAAAATTATTATTGTCACGTACGGTTAGAAGAGGGCAAGAGAGGTAACAATAGTGTCGAAGTATGCCAAGAAAAGACGGAGAGAAAGTCTTAGCTTATAAATTGTATTTCTCACTTGTGTATTGCTTGTACAGAAAGTGTCAATTTATACAAAAATTGTATGCTATGTAAGAAAAAGTTTAATTACAAAATCATGAGATTAATTGTAGCATTACACAATCAAGGATAAGATTGTGTCTATCAAATGTAGCTGATTTAATTAATTCCATCCATCCAGCTATCATTTTAATCAATCCCATTAAGCAAGCCAAATCTTCATTTCATATATCAACACTCCCCCTCAAGCTGGTTAAGAATATGTGAATGTTGTTTGTGACTTAAAGGTTTGGTCAAGATGTCAGCTGACTGATCTATGGTTCATATGTGTTCAGTCTTGATCATCCCTTCCTATATTTTATCTTTGACAAAGTGGCAATCAATTTCTATGTGTTTCATTCTCTCATGAAATACGGGATTGGCTGCAATGTCATTTGCTACTTTGTTATCATAGTAAAACTCAACAAGTCTTCTTATCTGAATATCTAGATCTTTTAACAACCCAATGATCCATGTGATTTCGCATGTGGCTTTGGCCATTGCTCTGTATTCTGCTTCTGCTAATGAAAGAGAGACTCTTGTTTGTTTCTTTGTCTTCCATGAGATTAATTATCCCCCTAATTTGATGCACAAACCAATGAGAGATCTTCTTGTCATAGGACAAAATCCCCGTTCTGAATCACAATATGCTTTGAGACTCAAGCTTTCTCCTTAAGGTAAGAGAAGTCCTAACCCTGGGCATCCTTTCAGGTATTTGAGGACCTTTGTTGTTGCTTCCATATGTGATTGCTTCGAAGCATGCATAAACTGGGTGAGAATCTAGATTGCATAGTGGATATCTTGTCCTATCATTGTCAAGTAGATGAGATAACCAACCAAACGTTGATAACTAGAACTATCTTCAAGGGGTGGATCAGTTTCTGAATCTTGATTAGTAAACTTCAAGTTTTGTTCCATGGGAATAATACTGGGCTTACAAGCTGATAACCCTAAATTTGAGATTAATTCCATTACGTATTTCCATTGCCTGAGAGATACTCCTACTGAGGATCTTGCAATTTCAATGCCTAGAAAATATTTGAGTGCTCCCAGATCTTTGATGTAAAACGACTTATTGTAATTGCTCTTTTAAGGTTTTGATGGCAACCTCGTCATTTCTTGTGATAAGAATATCATTGACATAAACTATAAGATTGATGAAGGTTTTACCTTGATGTCGAGTGAAGAGAGCATAATCATGTTTGGACTGTATGAAGCCTATAGAAGTAAGAGCCTCTGTAAATTTGGCATTCCATTATCGGGATGCTTGTTTTAGTCCATAGAGGGATTTTCGCAATCAACATACAAGATTCTCCCCCTAATTACAAAGACCCGGTGGAATGTCCATGTAGATTTTTTCATCGAGGTCCCCATGGAGAAATGCATTATGAACATCCATTTGATGAATTTTCCAATTACAGTGAGATTCCACAAAGAGAAAGGCCCGGACAATAACATATTTGGCCACAGGGGATAAAGTTTCCTAATAGTCGAAACCTTCTCTTTGAGTAAAACCTTGGTAACCAATCAGGCTTTGTATCATTCCACCGAACCATTTGCTTTGTATTTGATTTTGTATACCCATTTACAGCCAATGGGTTTTCTGTGAGTGAGTTGAGCAACCAGATCTCAAGTATGATTTGTAGCAAGAGCATTAAGTTTTGCCTCCATAGCAAGACGTCATTGGGAATGATGTATGGTGTCTGAATAGGAGGAAGGTTAT